TGTATTGTGCTGTTGTTGGGTTGAATGCTCTGTATACATGTATGAGGTCCAGTTGACTAATTGTGTTGTTTAGTTCCTCTGTGTCTTTATCAAGTTTCTTTCTGGTTGTCCTATCCATTTTTGAAAGCAGTGTATTAAAATTGCCCACTATTATTGTAGATTCATCTATGTCTTTCTTCAAATCTATTAGAGTTTGCTTTAGATATTTTGAATATCCTTCTTTTTAAAGTCACTGTAGTTTAGGAGTGCAGTGGCTGAGGATAAGAACTGGAGTATGAACCACAAGATTGGTGGTTCAAGCCCACCAGTCATTCAGAGGGAGAAAAATGAGGCTTTCTGCTCCCTCAAAGATTTATAGTCTAGAAACTCTGTCATAGGGTGGCTATGAATCAGAACTGACTTGAAGGCACTTAATAACAACAACAATGTGCCTAAAACAGTTATGAAAACACAATATGAGGAATACTAAAATAAAGCAATGCACAAGTGCTGAACTTAAGGTTCTTCTATCCTTCTAATATGGCCAGCACATTGTTATTGTTATTGTGAAGTACCAAGGAGTTGGTTCTGACTCATAGTGGCCCTATGTACAACAGAATGAAACACTTCTTTGTTCTGTATCATCCTCACAATTGTCATGCTTGAGCCCTTTGTTGCCGCCACTGTGTCAATTCATCTCAATGGGGAGAGGAGGGTGTTTTTCTTATTTATTGACCCTCCAATGTACCAAGCCTGACATTCTTCTCCAGGACTCGCCATTCTTGACAACATGTCTAAAGTGTGAGAGACTAAGTTTCGCCATCCTCATTTCTAAGGAGTAATCTAGCCATACCATACTTCTTCCAAGAAAGGTATGTTTGTTTTTCTGGCAGTCCATGACACTTTCAGTATTCTTCAGCAACACCTTAACGCAAATGCATCGATTCTTCTGAATCCAGCTTGAATTGCAGGCAGCTCCCTGTTGATGTACTGCTGCAATTGTTTTTGAGGTATCTTCAATGAAAATTTACTTGCATATGCTATTTATGATATTGTTTGGTGCTTCTACATTCTGTTGGGTCACTGTTCTTTGGAATGAGCACAAATATGGATCTCTTCCAATCAGTTGGTCAGGTAGATTGTCTTCCAAATTTCTCACATAGGTGAGCGAGCACTTCCAGTGCAGCATCCATTTATTGAAACATTTAAATTTAAAAATTTTTGAAACATTTAAATTAAAAAATTTCCCGGAGTCTTGTTTGTCACCAATGCCTTCAGTTCAGCTATTTCTTGAAATAGCTGAATATTGATCGATTCTTTTTGGTACAGTGACTCTGTGAATCTATCTTCTTTTGATGTTTCCTGTATCATTCATTCAATATTTTGTCCATAGAATCCTTTAATAGTGCAACCAGAGGCTTGATTTTTTTT